CATGTACCGGAGGCTGCCCCAGCCGTGAGTCTGGCTCCTTTTGTCAGACGGGCTTGTTCAGCTGGCGGATTTCTTGGATACCCTGACTGATGCAGCCAAGACAAAGGTTTGCTGCAAGAAAACCTGCTCTTGGAGAAAACGTGCCGCTTCTGGTTGCGTGTGCAAAGGTCTAAAGGGGTCCAGAAAGCTTCCCAAAAGCTAGATCCAAGCTGAAACCCCAGACGCTAGTCCTGGTTGATGTGGATCTGCCTCCACGTGGTGCAGGTCCATCTGTTGTCTAGTCCAGGCTATATTGCAGTCTCATCTCTGAATCCTCTTGGGACAGCAGCTGATGTATTCTGGACCTGACAGCAACCATTTAAGCTTTGAAGACATTTCAAAATAAGTATTTAAGCACAAGTACCCAGCCCAGCAGTGGCGTCGGAGGCACAGAAAAGTCATTCAAACCCCAAGTTTGGGTTCTGAACCTACAGATAAGAGCGGCTTTCCAGCTTTTCTATGCCACCACAGAAACTGAGCAGGAATTTATTAAAAACAGACAAAAGCTGACATTCTCATACAACCACATGATTCTAGAAACTGGGGGGTTAATATCACAGCATACACAATAAGGTCACACAAGATAGCAGCACTGGTGGTGCTGGAGGAACCTGCCACTCGCCACACAGGTTCCTGAGCAGCTTTCTGCTCGCAAATGGGGAAGGGCACAGACTGCAGCCACGCTCCTGCCTCACCCGCAGCCACAGCTCCGGCTGCTTCCCTGGGAACTGTAGATCTCTGGCAGCAGCTCCAGAGAGCACCTGATCAGCGGGGTCTGTGGTGGTCACCTCAGACCACAACCGAGGGCCTCCACTGCACACCCCAAGCATGGCTGACACCAGGTTCTGCTATGAGGTACCAAGTTACTGGAAGGTCTCCAGTAGCCTGAAGTCTGGGGGCATCGGTGAGAGCAGAAAGGTCTCAGAAATCCAAATTTTACACATACCACATGCTGTTAAAAAGGAAAAAAGAAGGAAAATTAAGAACAGTGTTTTACCTATGCTGCCAACTTGCAAGCTGAGGGAAGGTGACCTCAGAAGTTGGAGGCACAAGGTCCTAAAGGCTGAGAAAAATAGAGAAGAGAACTGGGAAACCTTCCCAGGGCCAGGAAAACTCCCACCATACAGCAGCTATTGTATCGCATCCAAGAAGCCCTTTTCCAAACCATCCTGCCCAGCCAGCAGGACCCTTAAATTACACCCACTGGGTTTTGTTCCCAACCA